CCTGTGTGTGTGTGTTTGAGGAGATGGTTTTGTTTGGTGAGGGGACTGTGTGTGTGGGGAGTGGGGATGTGTGTGTGGGAGGGTCGCAGTGTGTGTGTGTGTGATGAGGGGGTTTGTATGTTGGGGGCGCGACTGTGTCTGTGGGCGACTGTGTGTTTGTGTGGGTGGGTAGTCCTGTGTGAGGGGGGGGCGGGTGCTTTGTGTCCTGTGTGTGAGGGCGCATATATGGTGGGTGGGGTGGTGGATGTTTGTGTATTAACGTGCTGTGCGTGTGTGCGCGGGGCTGTGTTTTGGCGGTGCTGTGTGTGGGGGTGGTCATGTCTGGATATGTGTGGGGAGTGGAGCTGTGTGTGTCTGGGATGTTGTGTGGGTTTCCTGGGTGTGAGGTTGCTGTGTGTGTGGCAGGGCTGTGTGTGGGGGGNAGCTGTTTGTGTGGGGGTCTGTGTGTGGGGGGAGGGGCGGCTGTGTGGGTGGAGGGGGCCTGTGTATGTGGATGGGGCTGCGCGTGTGGGGGTGTTGTGTGCTTGTGGGTGCGGCTGTGTTTGTGTGTGTGGGGAGGGGGCTTTGTGTGGGGTTTTTGTGTGTTTCTGGGGAGAGGGGGCAATCGTGTGTGTTGCTGTGCGGAGGTGTGGTGTGTGTGGGGGTGATTATGTGTGTGGGAATACGTGTGTGGGCCGGTGGTGTTTGTGTATTAGGTCGCTGTGGGTATGCGGGGCTGTATGTATGTGTGTGGGAGGAGCTGTGTTCGTGTGAAGGGGGGGGTGGGAGCTGTATGTGTGGGCAGGTGGGCTGTGTGTGTGGGGGGGGATGGAGCTGTGTGTGGGGGGGGATTGGGCTTTGAGTGTGGGTGTAGTGTGTGTGCAGTTGGTGCAGGTTGTGTGTCAGTGGGAAGAGGTGCTGCGCCCGTTTGTGGGGGTGTGTGTTTGCGTGTGGTTTGGGGGACTGTGGTATGCGGCGAGGGTCTGCATGCGTGGGAGGGAGAGGGGGTGGTCAGTGTAGGATGGGGAGGGTCTGGGTGTGTATGAAGCCACTCAGCCCAGTCAGTCTGAATTAGACACCCACCCAACCCGCAATCACATGGGGTAAATAACTGACCCCCAACAGCAGAACAGTATAGAGTGTAAACTTATCGGCTTCAGAGCGAACAACAACAACAACACATTGATCCACTACTCATAAACTTACGTTTTAAACTACAAACAGCCCCTATTCCGCCGGAATTAAACCGCTAAACATATCTGATTCTGATGGTAATAACCGGGGAGATAAGGTGCCTTCAGACCTATAATACACTGTAATATATAATAGATAGTGAAGTGATGTGAGCGCCGACAGTGGAGGCCATGACTGGTGTCAGTGGGGACACACGGGCTCTCATTTCTCACCGCGCCATTCTGTTATACTCTCCAGCGGCCACACGCCCTGGTGACAGCCTGACATGTGCACAACAGCCACGCGTGTGTGAGGTTCCCTGGTGACAGCCTGACATGTGCACAACAGCCACGCGTGTGTGAGGTCCCCTGGTGACAGCCTGACATGTGCACAACAGCCACGCGTGTGTGAGGTCCCCTGGTGACAGCCTGACATGTGCACAACAGCCACGCGTGTGTGAGGTCCCCTGGTGACAGCCTTGACATGTACACAACAGCCACGCGTGTGTGAGGTCCCCTGATGACAGCCTGACATGTGCACAACAGCCACGCGTGTGTGAGGTCCCCTGATGACAGCCTGACATGTGCACAACAGCCACGCGTATGTGAGGTCCCCTGGTGACAGACTGACATGTGCACAACAGCCACGCGTGTGTGAGGTCCGGCAGGAGATGGCGGTTCACCAACACGTGGTCAGGAGAGAAGGGGACAAACTGTCGTACTGGTGTCTTCACTGTGAGTCACTGGTGTTGGATCGAGTGGATCTCCGCTGCACATCAAACACTAGTTATTTCCTTCACTTCTCACAGCAGCTTCTCATGTGGGGCTGCGAACAGCACCGGGTCCTGGAAAACTTTCCCACAGGAACAGCGTCTTTCACAGCAATTTCTGGTGTTTCGTGTGTTGGGAGTTCGCAAAACTCTTCCCACATTCCGCACATTTATACGGTTTCTCTCCTGTGTGTATCCGCTGGTGACTGGGGAGTGTCACTGAACGTGTGAAACTCTTCCCACATTGGGAGCAGTTATACGGTTTCTCTCCTGTGTGTGTTCGCTGGTGTTTTCGGAGTCTTCCTGACTCTGTGAAACTCTTCCCACATTCATTACATTCAAACGATTTCTCTCCTGTGTGTATCCGCTGGTGTTTGTGGAGATCCCCTGAATGAACAAAACTCTTCCCACATTCGTTATATTTATGCAGTTTCTCTCCTGTGTGTATTCTCGGGTGAAGGTGGAGAGTCCCCGAACGTGTGATCGCTGGTGATTCTGCACAGATCCGGTTGTAAACCCCTTTTCTCCGACAGCATCAGTGATAGATCCCGGACACTCTCTCTGCTGTGAGGCTTCAGTTTGGCTACGAGCTGCGGAGCGGCGGCAGGACAGCGCGGGGAGGGATGGGGGAGAGGAGGGGAGTGGTGGAGAGGTGGGGGAGAGGGGGGGAGTGGGGGGTGGAGAGGGTGGGAGAGGGGGGGAGAGGGAGGGTGGGGGAACCGCTGACGTCATAGTTTAGTTTCAGGTGTGTGTGCGCGCAACAAGAAAACAAATTACAACACTCTGCGCTCCCTCTCAACCCAGGGCTCGCATCAGGGACCACCATGGTCCTGTGGGGTTGGCCGGGCACACACACTGCCACCCCAGCACCATACAGATAGACACAGCCGCAATCCCCCACAAACGGCCCCCACCGTACACATGCAAACAGTTCTTATTCGATTGGTGGATCACTTTCTGCGGTGAGCAATTCCTCCAAAATAATAATAGTCACAATAGTGTTGTCCCTCAATCGATGAATGTCTGTGGGGACATCGCTGTGTGCGATTGTCTCCCGTGTTTCACAAACATTACACAGTCACTACATTTTACAATGCATCCTGTGAAGCGCCTTAAGACGTCTCGAAGATGTGATGAGGCGCATTGTCAATTATTAATATTAATATAACAAAAAGGGGTTTAACCTCCCCCTCCATAAACCTCTTCTCTCCTTCAATTGAGTGGACAACATCGCTATAATGCACAAATTGTGGAGTCCTGTAGCTCAGTGGTAGAGCACTCGCTTTGCAAGTGAGAGACCTGAGTTCAATTCCAGGCAGAGGGCGAAACCTTGGGCAAGTTTCCTTACTCCACGCAGAGCCTAATAATAATCCCTCCAAAACCAAAAACAATAATAAATTGGTAATTTTCAATCCATGACTGTTTGTGGGACATTGCTGTGCGCAATTGGCTGCCGCGTTCGCCCACAAATATACAGTCAATTCACTTTACAGTGTGTTCTGTGAAGCGCTTTGGGACGTCCTCCTGACGTGAAAAGCGCTATATCAAATGCAAGGATTATTATTATTATTATAAATACGGTCTACCGACTGAAATCCGCCTCCAGCCCACCCTCTCTGTCTCCTGATTGCAGCAGAGCCGCCAGCGGCTGACTGGTAGAGAGAGAGAGAGTGAGAGAGAAAGAAAGAGGGAGTGATTGTGAGAGAAAGGGAGCAAGTTAAGACGTCGCGTGATCTTTTTTTAACCGCGAAAAATCATTGAAATGAAGATTACACCGGGATTATGAGTGGTCACCGGGGAAGGTGCCGGGTCTCCAGTGATTGCGAATGGTTCGTGTGAGAGGGGACAGAGTGTGTGTGGGAGAGCACAGGAGTGTCACAGTGTCATTAAGTGAGGAGAATGAGGAGAGAGAGGGATTGAGCGATGGGAGAGTGGGAGTGTGTGAGAGGACGGAGAGAACGATGCAGAGAGTGTGTCAGAATGTGTGGGAGAGGCGGGGAGAGAGCGATCGTAAGAGAGTGAGGACAGAGTGTCTGACGGTGCGAGAGAGCAGGAGGGAGAGGTGGAGAGAGGGAGGAATAAAGAGAAAGAGAGAGAGCAGAAACAGAGAGAGAGTTGAAGTGAGGACAGTGTTTCTTGCTTCACTGTCAGGACAGACTATCGGAGCCCCATTGGCCGCCGCGGGGGGGTGGGCGCGAGGTCAGATGCCGTGAAACATGTCGTGCAGTTTCCTCACAGAAAACTCCCACTTTCCCCAGTGAGAGACTCCTTTAAGCCCATCATTTTCCCCCTCCCAACTTACCAGCGCGACCTCCATAACCGGCCATTCCCTTTGCGCAGGAAACACAGCTCCTTCATGTCACCCCCACCCCATCTGCCCCAACAGCACCATTTTGCTCCCATTGCCCGGAGCTCCATTCCCAGAGTCCGTTTGACTCGCCCCCTCCCTCCACTCTTTCAAAGCACATCAAGACCTATCTCTCTGACTGTATTTCCAGTTATCTTCCCCCTCGCCGCCTCTCTCGGCTCCCACCCCCCGCTCGGGTGTCCAGCTGGCAGTGCTGATCGCCTCGAGACCTCCCCCTGACGTGAAAAGGGTTCGGTGTCAAAGTTGTTATGTTTTTGAAAACAAAACACAAACATATTGCTTATGCCCCACTCCCCCCCCTACCCCGCTCCTCCCGATACAGAGTAAAGCTCCCTCTGCTCTTCACACCTCGATCCATCTCTTGTCCCGCTCCCTTGGCCTATCGGAACATATCGTCTGGGCAATAACCCGTCTGTCCTGTTTTATATACCGCTATAAAGTCACCTCACATTCATCTGTGTTTGGGAACGAAGGTTTATCTTTACGTCCCTCACATGAGAAAATGAGAGAATAAAAATAAATGAAAACGGCGAATGATTCCGTGGCGATGGCTTTAATATTAGTTTTTCCTCATTGTAGCATTACAGTGAACGTCGACAGTGCCTCATCCGTACGGTAAAGGAATGATAAATGCACTGATTAATATCCCTCTCCCGCAACCATCAATTCCACCACCAACACCCCCTCCCCCCCATCCCACACGCACCCCCACACCCCAATCCGACACACACCTCCACCCGCACACATTTAGCCGCTCCTCGCACATTCAGCCACATACAAATCCCCTCCGCACACACGCACACAGCCCACAGACACACATAGTACACACACACAAACACAGCCCCCACCACCAACACTCCCACCAGCACAGCAATTCAAAAGGAAATATTTTGATTAACATCAACAGCGAAAAAGAAACTGGTTGGTAAAAAAAAAACTAGCACATAATCCCTCCCCATTCTGCTGGTAACAAACCAGGGGACAAGGTGCTTTTGACCAAAAATATATACTTCAGCGATGTGAGCTCCGATACTGGAAGCCACAGCTGGTTTCAGAGGGCTCATATCTCACCGCGCCATTCTGTTATTCTCTCCCGCAGCCACACACCTCGGTGATAGCCGGACATGGGCTCTTTCCACATTCAGCGCATTCGTATGGTCTCTCTCCAATAGTTTGTGAGGACCTTCAGGAAACGCTGGTTCCTCAGCACATGTTCAGGAGAGAAGGGGACAAACTGTCGCACTGGTGTCTTAACTGAGTCAATGGTGTTGGATCAAACAGATATCTGTCCTGTTATACATCAAACTATTATTGTTATTCTATGCATTTCTCAAAGCAGCTTCTCGTGCGGACTTTGAACTGTATCGGCTCCTGGAAAGCTTTCCGCTGGTAAAGATCATTTCAAATTTTTCTGATAGGACACCGCACAATTCATCCCACATTCGGCATAATTATACAGTCTCTCCTGTGTGTATCCGCCGGTGACTTTGGAAGTGGTCTTTCCTCGTAAAATTCTTTTCACATTCAGGACAGTTATATGGTCTCTCTCCGGTGTGTGATCGCTGGTGTCTCTGGAGACCCCCTGATGTTGTGAAACGCTTTCCACATTCTGCACATTTATGTGGTCTCTCTCCAGTGTGTGATTGTCGGTGTCTCTGGAGGTCTCCTGACGTTGTGAAACTCTTTCCACATTGTACACATTTGTGTGGCCTCTCTCCTGTGTGTGATTGTCGGTGTCTCTGGAGGTCTCCTGACGTTGTGAAACTCTTTCCACATTGTACACATTTGTATGGCCTCTCTCCTGTGTGTGATCTATGGTGTATCTGGAGATAACTCGACTTTGAAAATCTCTTTCCACACTCAGCACATTTATATGGTCTCTCTCCGGTGTGTGATCGATGGTGTATTTTGAGCGATCCGGAAGCAATGAAACTCTTTCCACACTCAGCACATTTATACGGTCTCTCTCCAGTGTGTGATCGATGGTGTATTTTGAGCGATCCTGATGCTCTGAAACTCACTCCACATTCTGCACATTTATATGGCTTCTCACCTGTGTGTGTTTGTTGGTGTATTTGGAGTTGACTTGAAGTTGTGCAACGTTTTCCACATTCAACACATTCATATGGCCTCTCTCCTGTGTGATACCGATGGTGTATCTGGAGATAACCTGACGTTGCGAAACTCTTTCCACAGTGAACACATTCATATGGCCTCTCTCCTGTGTGAAATCGATGGTGTCTATGGAGATCAGTTGACGTTGCAAAACTCTTTCCACATTCTGAACATTTATATGGCCTCTCTCCTGTGTTGGATCGATGGTGTATCTTCAGACTGCCCAACATTTTGAACCTCTTCCCATATTCCAGACACTCATACAGACGCTTTCCTCGGTGTGATTGCTGGTGTCTCTTGAGGTGCCCTGAATGTATGAAAGTCTCACCACATCGGGAACATTTATACAGTCTATCTCCTGTGTTCGATTGCTTGTGACCCTGTAGAGATCCTGTTTGCGAGACTCGGTTTTCCTCAACATGAAATACGATAGATTCCTGACACTCTCTCTGCTGCAAAGCATCGTTTGCGCTACGAGCAGTCTGCGTTGTTGATGTGTCTTTATGGAACTCGGGATGTCTTCTGCTGTGTTCCTGGAGGAACTCGGCACGAGTCAACACAACGCCGGCATGAGGCCAGGGATGAGCCTCAGAATCATCCACTTTGGCTGCTGATGGGAGGAAAGAAAGATCTGGATAAGCAATATATGAGCTTTCTTTACGAATTGCTCTTGAGCAAATGTCGATTGAATCCTTGCATTTGTACAGCACCTGATGATGTCAATGATTTACATAATTTACTGCCAACTGTACGGTCAGTAGCAGCTTACATTTATATACCGCTTTTCATGCTGATCACTTATTGACAGTGTCAGTTTCTGACGGCAGCAACTACCCACAAACAGCCGTGAGGCGACTCCGTGATCAGTGTAGTTGACGACGGTCTGGGACACAAGGAGATACTTATATTAATGCGGGAAATGCTTTCCATTGTAGGAGGTGCTGTGCTTCAGATGAAATGTTATAATGAGCTCCCGGCCATGTCTGTTCAGGTGGACAGTAAAGATCCCATGTAATGTTTCCAAAAGAGAAGCGAGTTTCTCTGTGTTCCACCACACCATTAAAGGATCTTTACTATGTGTCTGGAGAGGCGCAGAGTGACTTTAGCTTAAAAGCTCGGGGTGTATGACAGTGCATCGCGGGTGGTGGGCAGGATTGGGGTGGGGGGGTTGGGGGAAGGGCTCTACGGAGGCAGCCATTTTGACGTTTCCCGCCTGAACCAACCAATGGTCAAAATCCACTGCGTGATGTCACTTCGCGGCCTCATATTTCAAACGCACAGACTAAATCTTCAATGAGCATTTTCCTCAATCGCCTTCCTATCCCTTCTCACGGCTCTCCTTCCCCTCTGTATCCCTATCGCTCCCTCAAAACCTCTTTAATCCGGACATCATTGTCTTTCCAATTAAAAGCCGTGTTCCCAACCCCATGTTGACCCCTGCACTGCTCTCTCCTCATTCCTCATAGCCCTTCCCATCCCCCACAGCAGTGCACAGGCTGACCATCCCCGCTGACAGCGTTTGGTTGCCGTTGCTGACCTGAGTCGCCATTCCCCAGCCCTGTCATCTGAGCTCCATGAAAACCAGGGCACCGGGGAGAGACGGCACCTCTGACAGTGCATCGTCCCCCCCCCCTCCCCCCAGCTCTGTGCTGCAGTGTCAGCCCAGACTCTCAGCTCATTGCCCGCGATGTGGCGCTCGAAGCGACAACCTTCTGACTCGGAGCCAAGAGCACACCAACTGAGCCCGGCTGCCATCTGCCCGATTCTGCACTCGAGCATTTGATGCTGAGAAACTCAGAATGATTTTTCACTCACACAGGTAATCATCGGCAGGAAGATCCCTTTCCTCAGTGCAATCTCTTCTCTGCCTCTTTCTCAAACCGTATCTGCTGCTCCCGGCCTCTCCTCCGCTCACTCGGTTGCGTTTGGAGCTGAACCCCTTTGCGATTTGATCGCCTGTAGAGAAATGTTTTTTAAAACAGAAGAACACGAGCATTACATTTGCAAAGCGGTTTTCAAGTGAGGAGGACGTCCCAAGGCACCGAACAGTCGGGGCTCAGGACCCGAGCCTTGGGGTGGCGTGGTTGTGCGAGGGTCAGAGTTGGACGAGAGAGGGTAGAAACGTAGGCCTCCAATAACGTAAATTATAAGAAGGAACGCGGTTATAATAATAATAATAACAATAATAATCATTGCATTTGATGTAGCGCTTTTCACGTCTTCTCGACATCTCGCAGCGCTTCACAGAATAGACTGTAACGTGAATTGACTGTATATTTGTACGCGAAACGCGGCAGCCAATTGATCACAGCAGCGTCTGTCCCACAAAGTACCGTGGATTTAAAATGACCAATTTATTATTATTATATATTGGAGGGATTATCTGTTTACCACACACGTAAAAAAATCTTAACTCTCTTGTGTTTGCTATTTGAGACATTTTAAACAGTGGACTTTTAGGCACTAATTATGAAATCTTCAGAAAAAATTACAGAAATAACGTCACTGGTTGAATTAGTTTTTAAAAAATAAGATGTTTTCAATAGTCAAAGACAATGTTAAGATATAATCATTGCCAGAGCACTTTCAATATAAAGACTATAATTACACATTTATATTTTATTAACACTATAATTCAACATGTAGAAATCAAAGCTTCAAGATGTTTGGCATCGATCCAACCGAGACTAGAAAAATGAAAAGTTTCCGTCCCCTCTGCCAAGATTGAGACTGAATTTCTTCTCTGGTGTATTGATGTCACTTAACTTTTGACAAGCGATATGTGGCAGTGATTGATTTATCCTCTGTACTAAATGCTGATCTGAGCCAACTAATGCAACCCTTCATTTAATGAACTTACAAAGTTAGCCTTATGGTTAGGGCATAAGAAGATTGATTTCCAATTTTTCATTGTGGTGTGATGGCTCACTGTTTTGCGCAATTTGGCTGCCGTGCTTCACCCATAAAACACCAAATGCACTTTACAATATATTCTGTGCATCGTTTTGACATATCTTATTGCTGCGATGAGGCGTATTAGCAAATTGGAGGATTATAATAAAATATCATTATATATTATTAATACATTAAACACAACAATGCAGTAAAATCCAATTAATTTCACAAGTCAATAGCCAATGCATCAAAGTACACGTGTTGTTTCAACAATATCTTCGGCAAATTAAGTAGTGACGAAGGTACAGAGAAATTCAGAGGCGATTACTTACCTTTCCCAGAAGTAGTTCCACACTCCATGTCGCTCCCTTCGGTTTTCTCAGACATTCTCCCCTGCCTTGTGTTGGCAGCTCATATTTATATCTGATTAGTTTTTTTGTGTGAAGCCAATAATGCAGCCATTTACCCTTCACGTTTAAAGGTAATCGGCTGATAGTACAGCAGTTGGTTTTCTGGCAGTTTTCAAACCCAATGTCGTCTTCAGGTGATTGAGCCAAATTCACAGCTTTTGTCCACTTCTGGGTATTTCAATAGGGTGAGAGTTGGATACTGCGAAGGGGAGGGGAAGGGAGAGAATGGCAGGGAAATGGAAAAAAGTATCTGAATCATCAGCAGTCTGGGTGATAATAACAATAATTATCATTGCATTTGATACAGCGTTTTTAAGTCTTTGGGACGTGAAAATATATTCACCGTATATCTGTGGGCGAAACGCGGCAGCCAATTGCGCACAGCAGTGTCCCACAGACAGTCGTGGATTGAAAATGACCAATTTATTATTGCCGTGTTCTGGAGGGATTATTATTAGATATCTGGAGTAGGGAAACTTGCCCGAGGCTTTGCTCTGCCTGGAATTGATCCCAGGTTTCTCGCTCGCAAGGCGAGTGCTCTAAGCACTGAGCAACTGGACCCCAAGATCTGAAGGATATTCTCCTGTAACGCGGTACCGAATGTCTGATATCCTTAAACACAAGTTCCATTTTGTAAACCAGTGTTTATTTTTACACCCCGATCGCCCTCCCCGAGGAGCACAGTCACCAGATGGACGTTCTGCATCCGACAAGCGCGGGATTGAGCCTCACTATGTAGGCAGTGGGTACAAGGAATTCCCTGCGATCTTCCAGGTGGGCAACACATCTCAGCACTAAATGTATCAGATACATTTGCACCGATTGAAGCCGCCTATTACAGGCTCTGAGCTGTTTAAATTCCCTCCCCCACCCCACACCACAGATAGATTTCCCCCTCCCCACCACCGAGGGAATTAATGTGGAGGACTGTCAGTCAGGACCCGCGAGAGAGAAACTTCTCTTTTCCATTCACGTCACGAGATATTACAATTCCCTCTCATATATGAGTGAAGCTGTCCAGCCCAGGAGGAGAGGGTCAGGTTACTGCCGGCCAACTCCTGGGGCCTTCGTTTATGTTGCGCTCAATACCAACAATTTACATCCAATTAAACCGCACATTAAATGTCCCTTTGTTTAATGTGGCGTTCAATACCTACAATTTACATCAAATTAAACCGCACATTAAATGTCCCTTTGTTTAATGTGGCGTTCAATACGTACAATTTACATCAACTAAAACCGCACATTAAATGTCCCTTTGTTTCATGTGCAGTTGGATAGGTACGATTTGCACCTATTGAAACTGAGCATTAAATGTCCCTTTGTTTAATGTGCAATATGTGTCCCCCCTCTCCTCCCCCCGCCCCCCGACGTCCTCACTTCCCAATCCACCACTCGGCGCCTCCGCTCGTCTGGCACCGGCCTCCAGCTTGTCACCCCCGACATGTGGAACTCTCTCTCTCAATCTTCCCGACTTTGACCCCTTTCCCCCTTTTAAAGTCCCGCCTGAAAATCTTCCCTCCCGACCGTGTCACCTCCCACCCTCCCCGGAGCGGTCAAACTCCACCACTGTTAAGCGTTCTGAGACGCTACACTGCGTGGAGTTGGCGGTTGTTGAAAAGACGCAATTTGCTCAAGTGTAACGGCGCATTAAAGGTCTCCACAGGGTAGTGTTCACTGCCCCCCTCCCCCCAACCAGAACTTGTGGAGACCTGTAGTCCTGTAGCTCAGTGTTTAGAGCCCTCGCTTTACAATTGAGAGACCTGAGATCAATTCCAGGCAGAGGGCCAAACCTTGGGCAAGTTTCCTTACTCCACACAGAGCCTAATAATAATCCCTCCAAAAAAAAAACCCAAACAATAATAAATTGGTCATTTCCAACACACGCATGTTTGTGGGACATTGCTGTGCGCAATTGACTGCCGCGTTCGCCCACAAATATAGTCAATTCATTCGACAGTGTGTTCTGTGAAGCGCTTTTGGACGTCCTCCCCACGTGAAAAGCGCTATATCAAATGCGAGGATTATTATTATTATTGTTGCTGTTGTTGTTAATGCAGAAGCCGCGCCGTACAACATGGCGGCCTCCAGCGGAGAGCGGTGCCGTACGGCGCCTTACGTGCCGACGTCACCGCGCGGGCGGGACTCCCGGCCCTGCGTCATTGCGTCTTCGCACGCGGCGGCCGTCAGCGGCGGTTCCGGATACGGAGAGAGAGAGAGAGAGAGAGATACCGTGAGGGTCAGAGAGAGAGAGAGAGGAGAGAGAGACGGTGAGGGACAGAGAGAGTGAGAGAGAAGGAGAGAGTGACGGTGAGGGACAGAGAGAGATGGAGAGAGAGACGGTGAGGGACAGAGAGAGAGAGAGAGTCGGTGAGGGACAGAGAGAGAGAGAGTCGGTGAGGGACAGAGAGAGAGAGAGAGGAGAGAGAGACGGTGAGGGACAGAGAGAGAGAGGAGAGAGAGACTTTGAGGGACAGAGAGAGAAGGAGAGAGAGACGGTGAGGGACAGAGAGAGAGAGAGAAGGAGAGAGAGACGGTGAGGGACAGAGAGAGAGAAGGAGAGAGAGAGACGGTAAGGGACAGAGAGAGAGAGAGAGAGAGAGAGAAGGAGAGAGACGGTGAGGGACAGATAGAGAGAGAAGGAGAGAGAGACGGGGGAGAGAGCGAAGGAGAGAGAGACACTGAGGGAGGGAGAGAGAGAGAAGGAGAGAGAGACAGTGTGTGAGAGAGAGGGAGAAGGAGAGACAGTGACGGTGAGGGACACAGAGAGAGAGAGAGAGAGAGAGACGGTGAGGGAGAGAGAGAGAGAGAAGGGGAGAGAGACGGTGAGGGAAAAATAGAGGTGAGAGAGACGGTGAGGGACAGAGAGAGAGAGAGAGAGAGAGAGAGAGAGACGGTGAGGGACAGAGAGAGAAAGAGTCGGTGAGGGAGAGAGACGGTGAGTGAGAGAGACGGTGAGTGTGAGAGAGAGTGAGTGAGAGAGACGGTGAGGGAGAGAAGGAGAGAGAGACTGTGAGGGACAGAGAGAGTGAGAGAGAGAGAAGGTGAGAGAGACGGTGAGGGAGTGAGAGAGGAGAGAGAGACGGTGAGGGACAGAGTGAGAGAGAGAAGGAGAGAGAGTCGGTGAGGGAAAGAGTGAGAGAGAAGGAGAGTGAGACGGTGCGGGAGAGAGAAGGAGAGTGAGACGGTGAGGGAGAGAGATAGAGGAGAGAGCGACGGTGCGGGACAGAGAGAGAGAAAGAGACGGTGAGGGACAGAGAGAAAGATGGAAGGAGAGAGCGACGGTGAGGGACAGAAAGAGTGAGAGAGAGAAGGAGAGTGAGACGGTGAGAGAGAGAAGGAGAGTGAGACGGTGAGGGAGAGACAGAGAGAGGAGAGAGAGACGGTGAGGGTCAGAGAGAGAGAGACGGTGAGGGACAGAGAAAGAGAGAATGAGAGAGAGACGGTGAGGGATAGAGAGAGAGAGAGAGAAGGAGACAGAGACGGTGAGGGAGAGAGATAGAGGAGAGGCGTTGAGGCACAGAGAGAGAGAGACGGTGAGGGACAAAGAGAGAGGGAGATAAGGAGAGAGAGACGGAGTAGGAGAGAGAGGAGAGAGCGACGGTGGGGGATAGAGAGAGAGAAGGAGAGAGAGACGGTGAGGGAGGAAGAGAGAGAGAAGGAGAGAGGGACGGTGAGGGAGGGAGAGAGAGAGAGAGAAGGAGAGAGAGAAGGACAGAGAGATGGGGCGGAAGTGCAGATGATTGACGGGGACGGAGGGCCAATCACAGTGCAGTTTGTGACGGACGCACCAATAGGGCTGTGGCTGAAAAGGCGGGGCTTGAGGTGGACCAATGGGGAGGGAGTGGGCGGGGTCAGATCAATGTGTGTGGGGTACCAATGGGTGTGTGGGGCATTAATGGGTGTGAGGGTTACCAATGGGTGTGAGGGGTACAAATGGGTTTGTGGAATACCAGTAGGTATGGGGTAAAATGGGTGTGAGGGGTACAATGGGTGTGGGGTCCTAATGTGAGTGTGGTGTACTAATGGGTGTGTGGGGTGCTAATGGTGTTTGGGGTACTAATGTTGTGTGGGGTACTAATGGGTGTGTGGGGTACTGACGGTGTGTGGGGGGTATTGATGGGCTGCTAGAGGTATTGATTGAGTGTTGTATTCATCCGGTGTGGGATATTAATGGAGTGTTTGAGGTATTAATGAGCTGTGCTGGGTACTAATTGTCTGTTTAGGGTATTAATGATTCGTGTAGGTTATTAAGAGACGGTGTGGGATACTAATGGGCTGTGGGGGGTATTAATGGGCTGTGAGTGGTATTAATGGGCTGTGGGGTGTATTACTGAGCTGTGGGGTGTATTACTGGGCTGTCGGTGGTATTACTAGGCTGCTGGGGTATAACTGGGCTTTGTGGGGGATTAATGGACTGTGTGGGGGATTAGAGGACTATGTGGTGGATTATTGTCGTGTTATTATTGGGGTGTGTGTGGTGTTGATTGTGTGTGGGCTATTAATGGTCTGTGTGGGGTAATAACGGAATGTGTCGGGTATTTATGGGCTTTGTGGGGTATTAATGGGCACTGTGGGATATTAATGAGGTGTGTTGGGTATTAATGGGGTGTGGGCTATTAATGGGATGTGTGGGGTATTAATGGTGTGTGTAGTATTAATGCTGCGTGAGTCCTGTAGCTTCCGCGAGCTGCGCCTGGTACCCAGTACAATAGTAATAATACTTCCATTTGATACAGTGCCTCATTCTGACTCACAGACGTCCCAATGCGCTTCACGGAATACATCGTAAAGTGAAGTGACTGTATATTTGTTGGTGAAACGCGGCAGCCGATGGTGCACAGCAGCGTCGCACAAGCAGCCGTGGGTTGAAGTGACAAATTTATATTTGTTTGTTTTGCCCCTCTATAGGGATTATTATCGCGTGTCTGGAGTAAGGAAACTCGCCCGCGGTATTGCCTGACCGGGTACGAACCAGGCGTCTCGCTCGCAGGGCGAGCGCTCTGTCCACCGAGCCGCAGGACTCCAATGTCTATCGTCCAGGAGACGAAATTAAGGAGGTTATGATGTGTATAAAACACCGGTGAGGCTTCAGCGCGAGGACTCACTGCGTTCAGTTCTGGGCACCACACGTTAGGAATGCTGTCAAGGCCTTGGAACAACAACAACAACAAGATTCCAATAGAGCGCCTTTCACGTCGGGAGGACGTCCCAAGGCGCTGGGCAGTTGGGTCAGGACCCGAGCCTTGGGCGAAATGGTCAGGGTGAGGGAAGGGAGGGAGAGAGGATGGGGTAGAGAGTCGAGAGTGGAGGTTAAGGCTCGGTCAAAGAGAAAGGTCTTGAGACCGGCCTTATAGGAGGAAAGGCAGGAAGCGGCGAAGGCACCGAGGGATGGAGTTCCAGAGCCTCGGGCTGAGAGGCTGAAGACCACCGATAGTAGGGCGGTTGGGGGGGGATGTGGAGCAGACTG